AAGAGTGTGGAGTTGCTGCATCTCTTGATTTGTGCTTTATTTATGCACAACTTGACATTTCAACCCTCAGTATTTTCTCTAAGCTTGTTCTAAAAGAAATATTAAGCACTAATATAATTGCAGTTCACTTTCAACAGTTATAAAAAGACTGAAAAATAAGTAAGTAAATTATAATACAACCTTACCATGAACGGGTTGGCAGTCCAACACATTAACCTGGAATTCACTGGATGGCAACATTTCAAAAAATTTGTTCAGTTCTTCTTGCCCGGACACTGCATTACCATTCCAAACCAATGTTGCTTTGTCCAAATAAAGTCTTGTTAAAGCCTGAGTGATTATGAAAATACATATTTGGGGAAAATGTGTAAACACATACAATGGAAAACATACAAAACATTATTCTTTGAATCCTTATATTATGAATTATTGATTTCTCCTGTTATTTCAACAGACAAAATGCCCTCCTGAAATATTAGCTCCTTTTAACAATTAGTGCTCCTGACCAAGAATTAAAGCTAACTGAAACATATTCTGCTTTATAAGTTGCATAGTGACACATAGGCCTCCAAATTTAAATACTGATGAGATTCCTTTAAAAAAGCTACTAATAGAACTGAACTAGTTGCTAACAAAGGGTAATGCTACCTTTCCAGAGTAAGTTTATCGCTGACTTTTTTTTTTTTTGGAAGGGGGGGGTGGGGTGCACGCAACACAGATTATGTCAGGAAACTATAATTTCAGGTTTTTTTATTAAAAAAAAAAGTGAACAAGACCAGGAACAGTGGAAACTTAAAAAGGACAGGCAGCAGACCAGAACTTCCCAAATGTTTCATAAGCTGTAACAGTTGGGTAACTGCCTAATTCTCCTTCACACTGTTGATACATCTCTGCCTAACCTACTTAGGCACCAAGTGACTATGAAGTAACATGCAACTGCTGATATTTTCACATAATCTAAAAGTTATTAAATTACAGTTATAATACATTTAAAATTCCAAAGAACAGCCTCCACAGCTCGCTTTCGGTACAAATACCTGTTACATGATACCACATCAATGTGGTCCATGAAGACCTTCAGAGCAGGTAGAGCTGTTTCCACTTTATCCTCAGGCACTCCTAAAGAGTGCCAGAAACAGAAGTAGTAACTGCTAATAAAAGAAGTCTGGAAAAAAATAAGCTAAATCCTGACCTCAGAGACAAATAAAGCAAGTTTTACCTGCCTGTATTGGCCAAATCCTGTACCCATAAAACACGGTTGGACACGAACTGAACTATTATCATGAAGATGTCTAAAGAACTTTCTAAAAGGGCCCCTTTTACAGCAAGGCTGCACAGTAACATAAAGAATCCTCTACAGGGCAGTCTAAGAGGAACAGAGGTCTCAACCTGGCCAACACAATACACAGCAACCAACTTTCAGGTGCTTTCAGGTGTAATGCTAGTTAGAAAAGCAAGCAAAAAATGCACAAGACAGTTCTAACAATTGTCAAAATATCTACATACCCTTCTTCTTTTATCCATTGTCTCGTAATAAATGTTGACAAATTCATCTGCAGCTCTACAAGCTTGATCCACATAGGTTTTGAAATCCTGGAGAGAAGAAATCATACCAAATTACTTCAGTTAGGCAAATTTTATGCAACCTAGTCATCTACACAATTTCTCCAGCAAGTCACTTTGGTTGGTCTTTTCCATCCTCATTGACAGATGATGTCAAATAATGTTGAAATTGATTCCAAACTCCTTTCCTACTTGCAGGAGGTACCAGCTTTTAGCAAGGTGACAGTTTTAGGATTAATTTTGAATGCTGATATATTTATTGCATTTAAATTGTACATATTTACATTGAAAAATGGGCTACAGCTGGCTGCAAGTGGTGTGAACATGCAAGTATTCAGTGAAAATATTTGTTGCTGTGATGGCTGTTCTGAAATAAAGTTAGGGAACATGATTTATTCAACCTATTTCTGAAAGTTAGCAAGAACCCCATCACACTGCCACCATAGGCTCATTTTTTAAAACACCTTTATATACACATATATAAAATGTAATAATATACATAATTGGAGAGATGTAAAAATGAGAGAGAGAGAACATGCACACACGCTGGATGTATTCCAGTATCAATTACTCCAGTGCTATATCCACAGGTAAAAATCAAACACTTCTCCTCACATCTCATTATTTTCTTCACATCTCTCTACTTTTATTCATCTAAAGGTAACAGCCTTTGTTGTCACAGAACTGTGATCTCACTCGGTTATTTGTTCAGACTGTTTGGCCCTTTTTCTCTTACAGACCCTGAACTGTGACATCCCGGACAGCAGCAATTCTAAATATCCTGTCCATACATCCATAAAACTGCATTTGGTTCTGTTACGGTATTTTGTTTAAAATATTATCATTTATCTTTGTTCTATTTCAGCATTATGTTATCAGTATTTGCAACTCTATCAGTACTTCACAATTTAACTACTTACATTTTCTTGGCAGTCTTTAATGAATATACACCAGAACTACCATGAATTTCTCCACTATTACCACAAGAAACACTTCTATTCAGAGAAACCTCCATACTGCAAAATACTGACCGGCCTATCAAATAATCCCTGCTTACTCCACAAAACCAAATACTCCCATGTTACTACATACTATTCTTTTGATCTCCCTCTGTAAGGACACGAGCCTGCTCTTCATCTTCCTATCTTCTCCAGCAATTTCTGAACCCACAGGCCAACACCAAATACAACAAAGTAGTCTTAAAGATGCTGTATTCCAGCAAGTCCCAAGAGAAACTCTTTGGCAACCGAGAGACAAAGAGTATTAGACCTCCCACTAAGGGAACAGGCATTATAACTCAGCCTGTTATTTAGAGTAGGTGGCTGTTACCTCTCAAGCAGCACACACTTGCACACATACACGTTCTAACCAGCAGCCAAACATATTGCCATTTAGCTGCCAAACAGACAGAATGGGTGGGAGGGAGAGTATTAGAGAAACACCAGGAGACTGGAATGAGCTGTGAGGGTACCTGCAATATAAGTCAAATGGAAAATAAGCTCTGTTAGTTTTGATACTCCAGACAAGTTCTTCATAACCATAGCCCGGAATACATTTTTAAATTCTGAGAACAACTTAGATTGGAAAAAACTTCTGGAGGTCTTCTGGTCCAAATCCCTGCTCAAAGAAGAGCCAACTTCAAAGTTTGGTCTAACTTCCAAGTTAGATTTGACTGCTCAGGGTCCTATCTCCAGTCGTGTTTTGAACATCTCTGAGGATGGAGATTTCAGAGTTTCTTCAGGCTCCTGCTCCAATGTTTAACCACCTCAGCCGGGAATCTTTCTTCCCAGTATTTAACAGGAAAGCCATAATTAAAAAAACAACCAACCAACCAACTAACCCTGAAGCCTCTGACGACAATTCCAAAAAGT